CCGAGCATGATCCAGCCAGTCAAGGCGAGATCCTGTATTGCCTGATAATCAATGAACTGTAACAATTGTGAAAATGCAATTGTTAATTCTTTTAATGAAACAAATATCAAGAGACTTGTTTCAAATTTCTTACTTGAGGAACTTTCGGTATTTCGGCGAAGTCTCGGACAGCATATTATTATCCATTAACTTATTTGTGATAAGACAGGAATTTTTGGTATTTTGGCGCTTTTTTTCTTTATAATTATGGCTGCTTATCCACCAAATGAAATTGTGGACATGATTCGGACATGATTATGGACATGATTCGCATTTTAAGTGAGGCCAGGAATAATTACTCGGCAGCAGAAAGGCTTTATGCTGAGAGATTTCCAGACAGACGCCATCCTGATAGGAAAGTAATAAAAAGACTGCGACAGAGCTGAACAGAGTTTTCTTAGAAGAAACCGGCGAAAATCGGACCCTAATGAAGTCACATCATTGACTGTTTTAAGTGCCGTTGCTTTGAATCCTCAAGTCTCTACGAGACAAATTGAAAGACAACACGGTATATCTAAATCAATAGCCAATCGTGTGCTCAAGCTCAACAAATTTAACGCATATCACATTCATCTAATTCAGCAATTGGAAGAGAGGGACTACCAACGCCGTGTATATTTTTGTAACTGAGCTCGAGATCAAATCCAACAAAATCTCCGGTTCATTGCTGATACGCTTTTTTCTGATGAAGACACGTTTTGTAATGAGGAGGAGGCGTTAATAGACATAACTGCCATTATTATTCAGATGGTAATCCACATTGGCAGAGAAGCCAAGAGTTCCAACGGCAGTGGTCCATTAACGTTTGGGCAGGCATCCTGGGAGATGTTATTGTTGGTCCATATTTTTTTGAAGAAAATCTCAATGCGGCAATCTATCTAAGATTTCTTCAAGATGACCTGCTCAATCTCTTGAGACATGTCGACAATGATTTACTCAGATGAATGTGTTTCCAACAAGATGGAGCACCGGCTCATAGATTTTGAACCGTTACACATTAAAACATATTTAAACAACATATTTAAACAACAGATTCCCGAATAGGTGGATTGGTATGGGCAGCCGAGTTCAAGAATGGCCCCCAAGATCACCCGACTTGACGCCCCTAGATTTTTATTTCTGGGGCTACATTAGAGATATAGTTTATTCGCAAAAGCCTACAACCGTTGAAAATATGAAAAACCGGATCAGATAGACTTGCAGAAATATTAATGTAGGTGTTCTTGAAAAAGTTAGGGACGACTTTCACCATAGACGAGAGTTATGCATACAAGTAAATGGCCAAGTTTTTGAACACTTAAAGTAATTGTACACAAAAGAAGATCTTGCCTTGACTGGCTGGATCATGTTCGGATCTTGCCTTGACTGGCTGGATCATGCTCGGATCTTGCCTTGACTGGCTGGATCATGCTCGGATCTTGCCTTGACTGGCTGTATCATACTCGGATCTTGCCTTGACTGGCTGGATCATGTAAGATAAGACTATCGGAAAGTGAATGTTTACGAAATATTTTGTATTTTTATCAAAATTTTGTAAATTCGGAGCTTTATAACTCGTAAAGTACTTCACGAAAAAACATTTAATTATAGTGTTTTGGAAAGCTCTCGAGGTCAGCTACAAGATTATGTAATAAAAAATAAGGGGTGCCATTTAAAAAAATTGAGGTAACCTTCACGTGACCTTCAAATGACTCTTCAAGGTCAAATCAATACAATCTTATGGCCCCCTCGAAACCATACAAAACATGTCTGAATCATTTGTCTCTAAAATGAAAAATGAGAGAGATATTTAGAGTGGACACTTAAAATGGGACACCCTGTATATATATATATATATATATATTGTGATGTTGCCGTCTTGTCGTGCGTCCATCCGCTCCGATAACTTTAACGGGGCGCGGGCCGAGCGGCCGCGCCAGAATCTGCATCGAGAGAACATTATCGAGCTCCCCGGAGAGACGAACAATATTATTATGTTTTCGCGATTATTAATTTTATTTGTCATTTTCTTTGTGTCGAGCGAATTTCGGACAACCCGCCGGAGAAGATCCGGAGGGCGAGAGGGCAGCGAGGGACTTCGAGCGACCGGTGACATGGCGCTTTTCGACAACCGACAGCGAAGGAAATAGCGCCAGTGAAATCGGACCACAGGACGCCGAGGAGGGTAACATCACCCCTCCTCCGATAGTAAGGACGGAGGCCCGGACCTAGACTACCCTCCGAGAGGAGAGAGAGCAACGGCAGAACCTCCACCGGGCCATTACGAATGGGCCCGCGACAGCGGAATTTTAATTTGAGGCCATTGCGCGCCAGGCGCCGAAATACCTCGCGAGGCGCCAGGATCTCTCGCGTGCCGCGATATGATTGGCCGCGGGGCTGCGCACCCCTCTACGCGGTCATTGACGCCGCTATCGACCCGGGATGGAAAGATCCAGGTATCATTCTGGTGCGGGCGCTCGATTAAGTCAGTCACAGTTTGTCGTCGTTGTCGTTTTGTGAAATTTTTGTCTGTCGCCGTGTCGAGACATTTCGAGAGGACGAGACCGAGAACCATCCCCAGCACGAAGATTCATATCAGTGAGGTTGCCCATCTTTTTATTTGTGAGCCACATACGCGATTCGGTCCGCCGGCCGGCCGTTCTGCCGCCGTCGCCATTTTCGTGTTTTGCGATCGTTCAGGCTCGGTACCGAGCCGTCGATATTTTGTGAATTTTCGGGCGATCGGAGGCAAGCAACTGAGGAAAAGCGGACAATCGTACTGTAGGCATTAATTGATAAAGCAATGTTCGTCTCTCTCCTATTCATTACGCGTAGCTATCGACCGTCGAATATCGATCGCGTGCGCGAAGGATCGCCCGTGTTGTCGTATCGCTGTCGTTGCCGCGTGGAATATTCCCGTAAATTATCTCAGGGCGATTTTTGGTGTCTGATTGCGTGGATGTCGTCGTCGATTGTTAAGTGTGCGTGAGCGTTAATGTATTTTATCGTATTGTGTGCGTTAGAGTATTTGCGTCTTTGTCGCGCTTATTACACCGTCGAATAGAGCGTAATAGATGATAATAAAGTATTTGCGTCCTTGTCGCGCTTATTACGCCGTCGAATAGAGCGTAATAAATGCTAATTTGCGTCTGTCGAATTTGTCGCGGTGCGAAATAATCGCAAAAGTACGACCGAGAGTGAAATCTGAGCTGCTTGCGCGGAAGAAAGAGGCGAACCGCCGGCAGAGAAAAATCTCCGGCCATCGTCGGCTATCGAATATCGAACATATCGCTCGCCTGTCGCATACGAGATCTGTCTTCGCAAAAGTATTAATTATTTCCGATCTATGGTTAATTATGCTGTCGAATTATTAAGCTGTCGTTTAGAACTGCGAACTGGAAAATTGCAAGGAAAAGTCCGTAGCGATAAGTCGTTGATCTGGTTGTCGAAATTAAAATACGTTTTGAGTGAATATTATCCGCGAATATTGCCGTGCTGAAAATCCTTTGTCTTCCGAGAAGTATCGTTCAGTCTAGCGAACTCCGGCCATAAAAACGGGCTCGGATAAACAACAGGATTGTCTTAGCGCTTTGGTTGTCGATTTCGAGCGGACATTTGCTTTGAATAACGTCTTATTATTCGCGCCGGGATTAATATGATTGTGTATTTCGCTTTCGTATTTTTTTGAATTTATTGTGAACCGTCGTTTTCAATCTGATTTGTTATTCAAGTTTATTTTTACTTTTTTTCTTTTATACTATTTCTTTACTAATAAATTTGTTATATTTTTTTTGCTAAAATCGCGTAATTTACTTAAGTGTTAGTCTCTCGTGATTGTCGATATCTGTCGTTGCGTCTGTCGCCGTTTGAATTAGTGGAGTCTCGCATAATCAATTGACTTTCTTCCAAAACCCCTCCCCTCTACCGTTAGGCGAGCTAGTCGGCTCGTGGCGAAGCAGGCTATTATTTTTCGCGTTCTTTGACGTTTCGTGGAAAACTGATGCGTGAAAGACCGCATCTGGCGCCCAACCTATCGAATTATCAAAACGGCCTCCGCTCCGCCGCGGCTCGCGCGAGAGCGCCCTCCATCCCTGTTCCTCAGAGCGCGAGTACATTAATTTCGCTATTTTTTTGACGGCGTTTTCACTCCCCCGCGCACGCTCCCCTCCAACACCTCGAGGAGTGTGTCGATTAATTTGAATTGAAGAAACGTCGCAATATATATATATATATATATATATATATATATATATATAAAAATATGTAATTTGCAATTAACAATTCCATGTATATATATATATATATATATATATATATATATATACATGGAATTGTTAATTGCAAATTACATATTTTTTATTAGAAATAACTATGTGTTTTCTTTATACTATTTGATTTCTCTCATTATTTTGTATATAAAAGTATTAAGGTAAGATAATCGAAAAATGAATATTTTTACAAGATATTTTATGGTTTATGTAAAATTAAGAAATGATTTCAAGCCTTATAACTCGAAAAGTACTTGATGAAAAAATACTTTATTATAGTGTTTTGGAAAGCTCTCGAAATAAGCTATAAGAATATGCAATAAAAAAATAGATGGTTCCATTTAAGAAATTAAAGATGTCCTTGACCTGACCTTAACGATGCCATCCAAGGTCAAACCAATGACATCATCTTATGTTCCCCTCAAAACCATACAATTTTTGTCGAAAACGTTTTTCTCTAAAATGCTTAGTTTTTGAAAGAAAAGGAGTGTACGGGTGGTCTAGGACACCCTGTATATGTGTATTCTTACAGTATAATTTAATGATTATTGAATTATTTTCAAAAATTGTATATGTTATGAAGAGGAAAAAGAAATAATACTTTGTGTGATTCACTCTTATACCATTCTTTTAATACATATCTTTTTAGAATGTGATTTCTGATCATTATTACTTTCAACAACTCTTGTTATAAAAATTGTATTACAGACCAAAGTTGGTGATATTGAAGATTTGTTTATTCATTTAGAACGTATTTTCTCTATCGGGGGAATTTGGCCGTTCAAACAAACATACATCCGTTTCGCAATTTATATATCATATTATATGCTATATCTTATTATGGCATACATCGATCTTTATGATGTTTTCGGTAATCTGGAGCTAATGGTGATGAATCTCGTGGAAACGATAGCATACACTATGACATTTATGGTAGTGTGGCTGATTCGTTGTAGTAATTTACTGAAGCACGTAATCAATGCGGTTAGAAAGAGTATAATGGAACAAAAATTTGAAAATTCTGAAGAAGAAAGGATTTATTACCATTACAATTACACATCCAAGATATTCACATATGGTTCGATTGCTGGCATGCTTATTACGATCACATTGTTGTATTTTAGACCGCTTTTGCGTTTCTCAACCAGTAATCAAGGTAAATTTCGAAATTTATTAAATTAGTCATTACAAGAAAGGAAATATAAATGTATTGCATTTACGATATTTAAAATTTTTTTAAACGATATTATTAAAGATATATAAATTACTTTTATTTATTATTATAAATTGATATTGTAGTAATAAATCTGTCATTATGTAGAATAATATATAAATATAATTATATTATATTAGTTGTTATGTATTGTTTAAGTGAACATTACATATTTACTTTTTTTAGTATATATGCAATATGTTTTAATCTCTTAATAACTTTTTTCAGTGTTACATAACGATACACAATTTTTTATGTTACCCTATAGGGTGCATATATTTTTCGACACCACTAATAATTATACATATATATTAATGTATTTGTATCTATTCCCAATGTTTTATGTTTCTATCTGTCACATGGCGGCGATTTGTTTATTAGTTATTTTAGTATTCCATATTTGTGGCGAATTATCTATTTTATCATATCGCATTAAAAATGTTAGAACATATTCACAAGACACAATAGTGGATAGAATTCGTAGTTTTGTTCGAATGCATCTTAAAATAATATGGTAAAAGAATTATAGTTATATCATAATTTTAATAATACATATTATGTTTTGTCTTTATAATTAATTCACTTTTTTATTCGCATGATTTTATGGGGATACTACGGCAATTAAAGGATGGCGAAATCCGTGGATAATACTTTTAATTTAATTCTTTTGGATGAACTTCTTGGCAATAGTATTGTATTGGCTATTTCAATGTACTATGTCACAATAGTATGTATTATTATTATCAAATTTATTATTATTATAAATATTCTAATTTATTAAGATTTTAATTAATAGTATTATTACGAAGTGCATTATAATAATATTTTGAGATATTATAAGAATGTATAATTTCATTATAAACTAAATAATTATATAATTTTTCTGACCATTCTGTTTTCATAATTTTTTTGTTAATTTAGAGAAGATTTTTCTTCAACAAGATAAAAGCGTTTTTTTCTGTCCTTCATGTAATTAGTCCTTTCGCTGTAGACGCCTTTAGGCGTTTTGAAATTTTGATAATTGTATACTATTGACGTCTTCAGGCGTTCAGTATTTATTCTATCATTATTCAAATAATCTTAACTACAACTATATCTTCTGCTAGTAACTGATACGCGATGCGTGACAGTGAAAAGTTTCGCCGCTTATAGCAGTCACAATTAAATATGTGCCGTCCGTTACGCGCATTCTGTATTAGACCTTGCCGCAGAGAAAGGATTAATGCTTAAAATTAATGATTTATAAGTTTTTAGCTAGGAAAAAATTAAATTCCAATTGTTCATAAAAAATTTATCAAAAAAACTTGATTATGATTTAGAAAACATTCTGTATTTTAATAATTAGAAATTTGACTCAAATAAATAAATAAAAATTAAATCAAAATTTGATTAAGAGCCACAGCGCGGTAGTTGGACGCAGGAGAAGAAATAATACTTCTTTCTTATTTGTTTTGATTGTTGTTTATTGTTGTTGCACATGTAAACAATACATAAATAACGAACGTTTCGGATCGTCTTTGATCCTTCTTCAGTGCGATTAATAATATAAAAACAAACTATTGAATTGTAAAAAAGAAGAAAAGTTTATCTCCTCCCCGACGCGCGGGTGACGCGAAACTGCATAGCACAGAAATCTAGCAAGCCTGCTGAAAATTCATCAAATGTAATAAAATTTGTTATGTAGAATCGCAGATCTAACAAGTCGAATAAAAAATTAAAGTCGATATTATATGTAAATTCTTTTAAACATAAAAAAGAATGAGATAAAAAAGAGAAGGAAGAGATAAACTTTTCTCTTTTTTTACAATGCAATAGTTTATTTTTAATATTAATTGCGCTGAGGAAGGATCAAAGACAATCCGAAATGTTCGTTATTTATGTGTTGCTTACATTTAAATAATAATCAAAAAAAGGAAATGTTGTTTTTTCCCTTAAGCCTCAACTACCGCGCTGTGACTCTCATGCCAATTTTGATTTAATTTTTATTCTGTATTTTTCTATATTTTTAAATAACTTTTGATATTTGTTAGAACTTGCAGATTTCAGAAATGGCGACTTGTTTCACATTCATACTTTTTGCTATTATTGCGCTTGTTATGCTTTTTGGATACTGTTTAATTGGTGATCAACTAACTCAACAGGTATCATTAGATAGAAATAATAAGCAATGATGTCAAATGGACAAATCTTTCGCATGTACGGTAAAGTATAAAAAATTCAGGTTATTTATATATAATACACATGTAAAACACAATATATATCCAGTCAGTCAAGTCCGTCTGAACAGATTTTGCCAAAGGTTTACTACATATTCTTGTCACCAAAAAAAATACAATTTGCGAACAAGAGTTGCTATTTTGAGCAAATTGGCAGCAAAAAACGAGCAAAACTTGTTAATCTTAACATCAAATTGTCGGCAAATCAAGCAAGCAATTTACGTGCGTGTAATCTAGCGGCAAATTGACGACAAATTATAAGCAAACTTTGCTAACATAAACCGATCAAGATCTGCGCATGGAACTTTAATAGCAAATTGTGAGCAAACCTTGACATTCCGAAGGCATTTAAATTTAACATTTACTGATATTTAATTTTTAGTTTCCAATTTTTTCTCTTTAAATAACTAAGATCACTTATATGTAAAAAAATGTTATTTTACAAATATAATATTAAATTTAACATTATGACTAATAAAAATTTCGCATTACATTTTAAATATATGCAAAAAATAACATATGATGTAATAAATATATAATAAATATATAATAAAATAAAATATATAATACATACAATATAATACATATTTTATAAAAATATACATTATATATGTTAATATTTGTTAATATGAAGATGAGGCCGCGATGCAGGGACAATATACAGGGAGTGGAATGAGATTAAATATGCCGAGATTCCGTAATCGTTGCTTTATTAGTAGACGGCACGATGTGAGCGTGTCCACGGTACAAGACAAGACTAAAGTGATAGAGAAACATGTGAGACAAAAGGGACATGTGTAACGAAAAGACATGTGTGCGAAGGGGTATGCGTAAGGTCTTTTGTTCCAAGTCCTTCGGATGTCGCCACGGGAATCGCCTCATAAGACGATACTTCGAACACTTCCCCTCGATGAGCGTGCGATATCCTATCCAAAAAAAAAACAAAATCAAATGCGTTTAAGACCTAAAAGATCGAGACACTTCTCGTGCTTCAGTCTAGCGAGACCCTTGGTGAGAACATCAGCCGCCATTAGTTCCGTAGGGGTGTAATCTATTTCCAGAGCTCCACTTTGCAACACTTCACGTACATAGTGATGACGAACATCGATATGTTTTGTTCTGGCGTGAAATACCAGATTTTCGGCCAATTTCCGAGCTCCATTATTGTCATTGAAGATCTTTAACTTTGTCGGTAGTTCAAAACCAAGATCGTCAATGAACCTTCGAAGATATACTGCTTCCTTCACGGTGTCTGAAATGGCCATGTACTCGGCCTCAGTCGACGAAAGAGCTGTGGTCCTCTGCTTCCTGGATTCCCAAGATACGGGACATCCGTTCAATAAGAACGCGTAACCTGTGTAGGAACGTCGATCGTCTAAATTGTTGGCCCAATCAGCGTCCGTGTAACCTGAGAGATGCTCCTTGGTTCTTCTGAAAGATAGACCAACATTCGAAGTTCCTCTCAAATAACGCAATACGCGTTTCGCTGTTTTCCAATGCGTCTCGTCGAAACAGTTGTTGAACTGGCTGAGATGACTCACTGCAAAAGCGATATCGGGTCTAGTACAGGTAGCTAAGTACGTTAACATACCGATTAGTTCTCGAAATGATAGGTGTGTCGCAGGGCAGTTCTCGCTTTTTTTCAGTTTGATACTGTTGTCTAGCGGGGTAACTACGGGCTTGGAGTCCTCCATTCCGAATCGATTTAGAATATCTTTAATGTATCCTCTCTGGATCATCGTAACGTTGTCTTTGCTTCGAGAAAACTCGATGCCTAGACAGTATTTTAATTCTCCTAGATCCTTGACCTGAAATTTGCTAGAAAGATATTTAGTAAATTTGGCAACTTTGGATGGATCTCGAGAAGCCACCAGGATGTCGTCGACATACGCGGCGACGATAATTATGTCTTCACCCTTTCCAGCGAAAAATACGCAGGGGTCGGCTGAAGATTGCTTTAATCCAAAATTTTTAATCTCCTGAGACAACTTTACATGCCAGCGACGACCGGCTTGTCGGAGTCCATAGAGAGCCTTTCTTAATAAGCAAACCTTATCTCCATTCTTTAACTTGCATAGCATGTTTTCAGCCTTTTCGACGATTCTTTTGTCTTTCTCGGAGGCAATTATTCTCTCTAGAATCTGAACAGAAAATTTTGGAACTTCCATGTAAACCTTTTCTTCAAGTTCCCCATATAGATATGCCGTCGTGATGTCCAGCTGGCGTATCTTCAAGTTGTGTTGAACCGCCAGAGCAGATATGATGCGAATTGAACTGATACGTGCGACCGGTGCAAAAGTCTCATTGAAGTCTATGCCGGGGCGTTGTGAAAAACCACGAGCAACTATACGAGCCTTTCTTCGTTCTAGAGATCCGTCTTGATTCATCTTATTACGCAATACGATGCGGCTGCCGATAACCTCGCGCTCTTTGGGGCGATCCACTAGCGTCCAGGTATCATTTCTGATGATAGCTTTCATTTCTACAGCCATCGCGTCGATCCACTCAGCCGCTTCAGGCCCTTTCAAGCATTCGCTGATTGATACTTCAGTGAGATACGAGAATTCGAAATCCTCTGTTTCGTTGGTCGCTGCGAATTCTGTCTCCTCAGCATCGTCTGCTTCATCGGTCATAGTGAGTTCTGTTTCTTCAGCGTAGTTGCCTGTAACTTGATACTGTTTCTTGGGTCTTCCCCTGAATCCGGTCATCACTCTTCGAGGTCTTCCACGTCCTCTTCTTGCTTCAATCCATAAGTCAGGAGCTTGAACCTCCCGGTCTTCAACCGAATGGTCGCCCTCGATCGTGTCATCAACATCGTCTTCCCGGTCTTCATTTCTTTCACTTACTATTGGAAACTCGACTTCTGTTCGATCGTTGGTGAGTTCTTTGTCAAAATAGCGTTCGTTGCTTTTTTGGCTCGATGATTCCGGCACTTCCATGAATTCTACATCTCTCGTAATATCTATTCGGTGTTCGTCTGGAATCCATTATGCCTTAGAGTTCTCAGCGTATCCGACGAAGATCCCCTTTTTGGATCGTGACTGGAATTTTCCCTTGTTCGGATTTCTATCCAGGAAATACACTGAGCAGCCAAAATCTTGAAAGTATCCGACGCTCGGCGCGTCGCCTACCCATTTTTCGTGCGGGGTTTTTCCGCCGAGACTACTAGTCGGGCATCTGTTGCGTATGTAATTTGCCGTATTAATGGCCTCTCCCCAGAATGATGGTGAGAGATTCGATTGAATCAGCAGACATCGGGTCATTTCAACGAGGGTCCTATTCTTCCTCTCTGCAACTCCATTCTGTTCCGGAGTGTGTGTCACCGTCAGTCTGCGTCTGATTCCTTCTCTCTTTAGAAAATCGTCGAACTCCCGATTGACGTATTCCTTGCCATTGTCCGATTGCAAGCACTTGATCCTGCGTCCGGTCTGATTTTCGACTAATGCCTTGAATTCCTTGAAAGCGTTAAATACTTCGTTTTTGCTTTTAAGCATTCGAACCACACACCATCGCGAATGATCATCATTAAAAGTCACAAAATATCTTGACTTTCCGATCGATTCAGCCTTCATGGGGCCGCATATATCTGAATGTATTAATTCCAAGAGTTCAGTCTTTCTGTTTGATTTCCTTGGGAATGTAGTCTTCGTCATCTTATCGCAAATACATATTTCACACTTGAAATCGCGTTCGGCGTCTACGATTTTCATACCGCGTACGATTCCTTCGTGGTTGCACGTTAAAAGATCTGTTATATTAAGATGACCCATCTTGCGGTGCCATATTTCCGTTGATGATTCAGTGAAGGTTCGATCGAATTTATTTACACCCGCAGCCCGGCAATCATGTCTACCTTCCTGTAGATAATACAGTCCGTCGAAACGATTAGCCGCGAGTCTTGTGACTCCGTCACGGTCGATAATCCTTGCCGATTTCTTTTCAAAGATAACTTTGAATCCTCCGTCGGTAATCTTGCTTACCGACAATAGATTTGTGCGCAGATCGGGCACGTGTAGGGTATTTTTCAAATTAACATGTTTAGAATTACCATCGACTTCCGCTTCGAGACGTACAGTTCCTTTTCCGGTTATCATCGTTGACGAATTATTTGCAAGATTTAACTTGTTATCCTTGATCTTTGCAAGATGCGTAAACATATCCGAATCGCTACATAAATGAGAGGTACATCCACTATCTAAACACCATGGTTTGTCTTGAGTAGCTTCCTTCGCCTGGAACACTTCCGCTTCATCCAGGATCTTCATTGGTGCACATGCGAAGACATACACGTCGTCAGCCATCTTTCCTTTTTCGGAGCTCCCTTTAGACGCTTTATCTCCCTCTATTTTCGAATAACAATCGGATGCCTTGTGTCCGATTTTTCCACATCGATGACATTTAAATTTGAAAGGTTTCTTCTGCGATGTATTTTCCTTTTTGCTTTTCATATAAGCTCCTATTTTTATCGAAGCGTCTGGCGATCATGACGCCCTGGGACGAAACACGTGCGTCGTTCTTCCTGGCGTCGTGTTCTTCTATGATCTTGATGCGAAGCGTTTCCGGCGCGGACAATTCGTCGCGCGATTCGATAGCACATCTAAAGTTTTCGAAATTCTGTGGAAGACTATACAGTAACATCACTGTTAACAAATCGGGATTGATATTCACTTCCATGTCACTGAGCTTGTCCACTGTATCGAAAAACTTGCACAAATATTCGCGAACGTCTTCATCGTCTCCCATTCGCTGTACCGTTAACTGCTTTAACAGTGTCTTTTCTGGCAGGACCTTTGGATTGATAAATTGACGAAAGCTTATTCCACACTTCTCTCGATGTACCGCAGCCTTTCACCTGTTTTAATTCAGTCGGGCTTATTGAAAGAATTATATCGGACTTGGCCTTCTGATCTGCCGTTTCCCATTTTCTCACTTCTATAGCAGACTCCTGGCTCCCG